TTTCTGAATAACATTCCACATCTCTTGTAACTTTGTACTTTCCAAGGAAACCAGGTCCACGTCACAGTCTAGAGCTGCTGTGGATCCTTGTACACACAGCCCTGCTTTGTTCTGAGCTTATTAAAACTCTGCTTCATTTAACTTTCGCCCAAACTCCACGCTTCCCTCAATACTGTAATGACTCTTTTCCTTAGTTGGTAAGAAGCTCCTTAGTCCCTCTAGTGTACAGTCTCCTTTGGTGCAACAAGCCAATAAATCTGACTTTGTGAGACTACGACTTTACTCCTGCTGCTCTTATGTCGATTGGGTTAGCATATGTGTGACTCGCCACGCACTGACTGCTTTCTCGTTCTGAATATCTTGCTGGTCCCACTCCCATTATTCTATTCCCATTCATGATCCATCTTCTAGGTGGGTTCCCCCCATCTCCATGTACAGTAGCTCACCAGGCAAAACTCAGTCTACTAACAGTCCAACGCCAACCATGACTGCAGCCCAAGAGATGAGGATGACGCCTCAGAGCTGCAAATATCCACTTGGTTTAATCGCATGTGCTGGTGAGTGGCTCACGCTAACTGTGCTGGTGCCCATGGAGACTGGGCTTGTTTTACGGGAGATGGTGCTGGTTCCAGGAGTGGTGGTTGGCTCATGGGTAGATCCTGTCCTGGTGGTCCTAGTACCTGGCACTGATGTGGTGGATGATGTGCCAATAATGGATGTGCCCAGGGCAGAGGTATTTGGGGCTCTCCCAGGGACAGTATTCCTGGCAGCAGGGGATGTGGAGTCCGTTCCAGGAGCTGTGGAGACAGAGATGGGGGTAGTTGGTTTGGTACCAGTGATCCTAGTGTCTAGGAAACATGTCACACGATATGATGCATTGGTAGTGGAGATAATTAACAGGGAGGCAGGTGTCCTTAGAGCAGAGGGGTTGATCTAACACATCTCTGGTGCTGGTGGTTTGAGGAGAGGTGTTGTGGTGGGATGAGAGATGGTAGAAAGTGATTTGCCTGAGGCCACGGTCCCCAGAATAAAGGTGAGTGTCTTACAGAAGAGGAGGTAGAATACGTGCATGGATGGTGCTGTTGATGGTGGAAGCAGAAGATTGAGGAAATGGGACCATGACGCATGTGGACGTGGGAGATCTATTCAATTATGGAAGTGGTCACCCACAGAGAAGAGCGTGGGTTGGGATGAAAGGAATAGGGTCTGACAGTCTTGTGATGTAGTCACTGGGTATAAGGATGGTGCTGGAGGAAGAGATGACAGAATAAGGTTTTTCCATGGATGAGGCAGTGCTCATGGCTTGGAGCAGAGGTGACATAAGCTAACACAATCGTGGTGATCAACAAAGTCGAGCTGAGTGTGCTCGGAACAGATGACCCACGTGAAGAGGCTGGCGACCCCAGGGACGGAGGCGGGGTGGGGGCGGGGGACTCAGACAAGGTGGGAGGACAGGAGAGGCAGTAGAGATGGTGCTGTTGCCAGCAATGGTTGTGTTTAGATGAGACGTGGCTACACTGATACAAGAACAGTGTCCGTCACTGGAATAGCAGAGGGTGGCTCAGAACAAAGTGGGTAGAATCAGTTCCAGTACGACTGCTGATGGCAAGTGCAGAGGTGGTTTTATTCAGAGCAAGTGCCAGAGTATGAAACAAAAATAGTTTGGTCTTGGACTAGAGCAAGGATTGGCAAACTTTTCCTGTAAAGGGCCAGGTGGTAAAATTTTAAGCTGTTTGGTCACAGTCTCTGTTACAGTTACGCAAAGTACCTGGAAAGCAGCTATAGATGTAAACAAACAGGTGTGACTGTGTTCCAACAGCACTTTATTTGGAAAGACAGGTAACAGGCCAGAGCTGTCTTGTGAATTACCGTTTGCATCCCCTGGACCAGGGGTCGGTACGTTGAGGCCACAGTAGTTTCAGAGGCTTTGGTGGGCACAGACTCCACAGTGGTTCCTGAGGCTGTGGTAGAAGCTATGGTGAGTGGTCTCAAAGCCTGTGGTGGTTTCATTGGTGGAGACTGTGGTGGGCACAGATGTCATCATGGAGGCTGAGGTGCTATCAGAGGCTGTGGTGGTCTCAGCGGGCACTGTGGTAGCTGTGGAGGGCACAGAGCTGTAGCTGTCATAGAGATTTTAGTGGAGACTGTTGTGGTATCAGAGGCTAGGCTGTGCTGGCAGCTGTCCTGGTCTCAGAGTTGGTGGTGGAGACCATGGTGGTCTCAGAAGACGTTGTCGTACTCCTAGAGCCGGTGGTGGACGCTGTGGTGGACACATATGCAATTGCTGAGGACGGGTAGTCTCAGACGCTTTGGTGGAGGCCTCGGTGGACTCAGAGATCAAAGTAGAGGGTGTTGTGGGCACGGATGTTATCGTGGAGGTTGTGATGCTCTCAGAGACTGTGGCTGAGGCCAGGACGGGGGACTCGCCCAAAACTCCGCCCCCGCATCAGAGTGGCTTCAGGGTGGGAGGAGGGCATCGGCCGGGGCCCAGGTGGGCCGCTCCTCGGGGGGACGTGGGGACCTGGTGGGATGCTCAGATGAGCCTACTGTCGCCCTCCGCCAGACTCCGCTCTGTTAGGGAGTGAGATTCAGGAGCCACAGGTCAAGTGGAGCCTCCAGGGAAGGAGGGCCGCGGACTGGGGAACCCAGAGCCCCCGCTGCCCGGCCCCGGGCCGCCCTGCTCAGGCTTCCCCTCTGCTCTCGCACCTGGAGCCTGCTCTAGCCCTAGGGATCTTGGGTGCCTGCTGCTAGGACGTGCTCTCTCTTCCCCGGGAAGGTGGCCGGGGAGCATTCCCTGCCTTGCCACTCACTCATTAAGTAATTTTTCCTAATGAGAGCCCAGCTCCAGAGCTTGTTAAAGGATTTCCCCTTAGGTGTCAAAGTGATCACTAGCCCGGGAGAGAGAAGTGGGAAGGGAGACATTCAGGGCCGTGCCCTGGGGCCCATGGCACCTGCTGTCCCCGTTTGCTTTGGGGAGGTGTAGAACCTCCCCCACTCCCCCAAGCACACGCTCTTTGACCCCCAGTGCTCCCTTTTGGTGCCTTGGCAGGGAGGCTTTGGTCGAGTTGGATGTTTTGCTTCATTTTGTTTTGGTTTTTTAATTAGGGTCCAGGCTGGGGAAATTCATGGTTAGAGGCTGGGGTTAGGGGGTATCTGCTTTCCTCCCGGAGCAAGTGACTCTCCTGTCATGGCAGCTGCCACATGCTGCGTCACCATCTGCCCAGAGACTAAAAGCCGGGCAGCTTCCTCCTGTGTCCTATGGCACTCCAGCCCTCTTCCAGAGCCCAGGTGTCCTTCTCTGCCTCAAGGCTCTCTCCAGGGACCTAAGTCTGGGGTCCCTCTGGCACCTGGCTTGCCTCCTTTCTGGCACTCACGCTACAATTCTGCCCTTAGCAGAGCAGATCTGCAGTGGAAGATTCAGAGAGCCCCTCAGGCCTCAGGACCCTCCCAGCCCAGGGCTGGGTCCTGGCAGATAATCCACTGACGTGAGTGTCCGGGTTCGGATTACTGTCCGTGATGGGCTTCCAGCTTCCTACAAATGGAGATGCCAAAAGTGGCAAAAAGCTGCTCGCGGCCCTGCTGTTTGATTCTGGATAGAGTCAAGGTTGGAAGGCCTGTGGCAAACTGGAGTGCCTTTCTGGTCAGCAGAGATGCTGATGCTATCCTCTTCCACTAAGAGTGAGACCCAAGGCTACGTGGATGATGGGCGGTGGTTCGGTTGGGACTGACATTTGGGCACGGAATGGTTTTGGAGCAGGGCTGCTCTCCTACCATGCGTATGGAACATGGCAGATGTGCATAAGTATTGGGCTTAATTCGTTAGAGTCTTGTTTTATTCTGTGTAGTGCTGCCTTGTGATAACTTGTACTGAATTATTTAATTTTAATTTTCCTGTATTTGTGTCTCAGATGAGAACTATGTCTTATACTTCTTTGTAATCCTCAACAGAATGTATAATAGGTGCTTAGAAATACTTGCTTATTAATTAACCCATTTTCTCCTCATTTTGTCACCATGCAAATGAGCCAGGCATGAACTCAGGCTGGCTCTTCTGGAAATCCAGGAACGAGCCATTTTAGGAACAGTGGAAATTCAGCCTCCTCTTCCTCGACCCTCCAAAGAATTCCTGTCTTCCAGCCACTCCTGCTCAAGGTCATCTGTAAGGTCACAGCCAGAGCCAGGAACACCAGTCAGGACTTTCTCCCAACTGATAGCCCAGTAATTATGATGCCTTACTTTATAAATATTTTACACTTTATTGTAAAAAGGCCAATAGATAGAAAGAAGTTATCTGTCATCAGCTAACTCTCCCTTACTCCCTCTGCCCAATCAGTAATAAGTGAAAGGGCTTTAGTAAATTGGAGAGAAAATCCAGAAAACATACACAGATGAAATGTCTGCAAGGAGAAAAATCAGAATCTGGGGTGAAGGTGTGGAGAGAATAGGGGCAGTAGAGAAGATGGATGACTCCTACAGAAAAAAAGCCAAGACTCTGGGGCTTTGCGGGGAGAGAGGAAAATAAATGATGAGTGGGGAACACCGTCAAGGAGGGTCTGGGGTGGGGATCCATGGATGAGACTGCAGGCCAAACAAAAATCCCTCCCTGTGTGCCCACACACAGTCTAGCAAGGCAAGCCAACAGGATGCCCACTGCAGACGTTTAGGAAAACTAAGGGACTCAGGAGGGAGCGGGAAGAGCCGTCTGGGTGACAGATATTTATGATCTTTTCTGGAATTTTTCTGAGAATGGAGAGGGTGGAGAAGGAAATCCTCTTTTCTTCTCAGATCCTATATTTTCATTAAAAAAAAAACAAAAACAGTCAAGGGCCCTGGGAACTCAGAGACAAGCCGGTTTCCCACAAACTCTAAGTAATAGTAGATGGAAATAATATAGGTTGGTCCTGAAACCCAGAAACTCTGTCTTTCGACTCGCCCTGCCCATAACCCTGACTCACAGTCAGTCTGGAGCATTGCCTTCTAAGGCTCCCGAACTTCCCTTCACTGTGCTGTCCCTCCCAAAACTCAGAGTCCTATATTGATCCCCACTCTGTACATCCATCAGACGCCTTTTCATTTTCAGATCATCATCTTCTCTAGCGAACACTTGCCTGTATTATTCGTTCTTTCTTTTCTATACCCCAAACTCATATCCTTTTTGCTTATCACTTCACCCCTTGACCAGTTTCAATAACACAGCAGTTGAAGGGTTGAAGTGTTAACCATCAGTACTTTGCCCTTCCTGGAGTCCAGGAAATAGGAATTGTGGGTCTCATTTTCCATCCAGGAAAGGGGTAAGGCATGGAAGAGCTGGGGGTTGGCGAGTTCTGAAAGATCATTGTGGGGAAGAGATCTGGGTCATGCCGAGAGTCCGTTGCTCCATCAGGTGGACTGGATAGGAAATGGGGCCCCCATCATCCTCTGGGTCATTGTCCTCAGTGTTCTGGGTCAGTGCACGGTGTGTTCGTGCCAAATAGGAGACCTGTGATTGGGAAGAGAAAGGAGGAGTGAGTACCATCTGCCATGCCATTTACTTTCCTCGACACCCATATCTCAGGTCCTTTGATTCTACTCTCCCTGACCCTGGACGTTGGCTTGCTCCTTTCCCAAGATTCCGTTCAAACCCTAATCCTTATTCCAGCCCCAGATCCAGTACATTGAGTTCCAGACTTCATCTCCAGTTCCTTCCTCTGTCTTATTTTCCTTATTCTAATATCCCCCATTCTCACACCCCAGACTCTATCTCCAACTCCAAAATTTTCCCTACTTTACACCCTTTTGTTCTCAGCCACTGCTTTCTTCCCAATTCCACTTTTCATGTCGCACGCATCTATTTTCTTTTTCCATAGTTTCCACCACCACAATCCCTCTATTACCATCCTCCACACTATGCCTCTTTTCCTAGACTTATTAGTCCCTCCAGTTCTGATCCATAACATCTCCTCAACTCCTTATCCCATGGGTTCACTCCCCTGGGCGTCACTCTCCCTTACCAAGAAAATCAGGCCAAGGAACACCAGGAGGAGAATCACTATCAACAGGACCACGATAACTATGGCCCATGCAGGGAAGGAATCATTCTCCCCCCTCTCTCCAGCATGGAAATCTCCTTGTGAGCCAGCTTTGTTCTGGTGTGGATGGCTCTTGTCAGGGGCTTCCGACATGATCGACCTGGTGGCTGTCGAAGAACCAACTGACACATGACGGGAAACCTCAGGTTTTTTTGGACAAGGAGAGGTAGTACTGATAGACGTGTCTCCTGTGACCTTCACTGGAGGTCTTATACTCTCTGTGGCTGCTGTGACTTTTGTTGAATTTTCTGTGTGTTTAATTGGGGATTTTATGGTCTCAGTGGCCAATGTAGTCTTTCCTTGGTGTCTAGTAGATTCTGCTGGAGCTCCTGAGTTCTTGTAATGGGTCCATTTGGTCTTTCCTCCATGTCCCGTGGATGTTTCTGGGGGCCCCGTGGTCCTCTCGTGGCCCGATGTGGTCTTTCCTCCATGTCCTGTGGGTGTTTCTGGGGCCCCCGTGGTCCTCTCATGGCCTGATGTGGTCTTTCCTCCATGTCCCGTGGATGTTTCTGGGGGCCCCGTGGTCCTCTCATGGCCCGATGTGGTCTTTCCTCTGTGTCCTGTGGGTGTTTCTGGGGGCCCCGTGGTCCTCTTGTGGCCTGACAAGGTGCTTCCCCTGTGTCCCATGGGTGTTTCTGGGGCCCCCGTGGTCCTCTTGTGGCACGATGTGGTCTTTACTCCGTGTCCCGTGGGTGTTTCTGGGGGCCCCGTGGTCCTCTCGTGGCCTGATGTGGTCTTTCCTCCATGTCCTGTGGGTGTTTCTGGGGACCCCGTGGTCCTCTCGTGGCCTGACAAGGTGCTTCCCCTGTGTCCCATGGGTGTTTCTGGGGCCCCCGTGGTCCTCTCATGGCCTGATGTGGTCTTTCCTCCATGTCCCGTGTGTGTTTCTGGGGGCCCCGTGGTCCTCTTGTGGCACGATGTGGTCTTTACTCTGTGTCCTGTGGGTGTTTCTTGGGGCCCCGTGGTCCTCTTGTGGCCTGACAAGGTGCTTCCCCTGTGTCCGCTGGGCATTTCTGTGGCCCCTGAGGTCCTCTTGTGGCCTGACACGGTGCTTCCCCTGTGTCCCATGGGTGTTTCTGGGGCCCCCGTGGTCCTCTCGTGGCACGATGTGGTCTTTCCTCCATGTCTTGTGGGATTTTCCGAGGCTCCTGTGGTCCTCTCATGACTTGACGTGGTTGTTTGTTTTTGTTCTTTAGGTTTTCCTGGCTTTTGTGTGGTCTTTTCAGTGGTTTTGTCTGAGGTGGTACATGGTGTTACAGTTTTAGCTGGGTTACTTGTTACTGTTGGTCTCTTTGTTGTGCTCTTAAGACAAGTTGTCTTGCTCTTGGGTGCTGGGGTTGGATGTTTTTTGTGAACCGATCCTTTATCTGTGTTAGTGGAGTCATTAGTATTGTTGTGTTTGTTCCCGGTAATTAGGTCTTTTCCTTGAATGCTGGGTTTTTGTTCAGATGTGTGAGGAGCATCTTGAGTTGCAGAGCTTTGGGAGTTATCTACATCCTGGTGAAGCAGCTTGGAGTGGTGTGTGGTATTGCATTCGTGTTTTCGCTTATGGGTTTCTGTAGATTTTGAGCGGTCTGGGGAGCTGTGTTCTGAATGAAGAGCAGTGTGGTCAGAGCGGTTAATAGAAACAGGGCCTTGAGCCAGAGAGGAAAAATGATCAGATGTTGGGTGTTCACGAGTTTTCTGGTGTTCTTGAAGTGTGGTAGCACCTGTGAAGGGAGAGAGGCAAATAAGAAACTTCCTCCATGCTCTTCCCTGCTTCCCTTCTCACCTCATCTCTCGGGGTCCCTTTGTTACCCAAGATGTATCTCCCCAGCCAGTCTCTTCAGAATACTCCGGTATCTAATCCCCATTCTCACCTCCAGTCTCTGGACCTTTGTTGAGGCTGTCCTTTCAGCAACAATGCCACCTCTCTCCTCTCCACCTCTACTCCTCAGTTCTCAAGTTCAGATCTTTCTAGCTGTATGGCATCTTTCCTGATCTTTCTAAGCAGATAAGATCCAGCTTCATTTCAGTGCTCAAAAAATTCTTTGTTAGTTACTCTTTCCTGCTACCTTCAACGTGACATTACAGTTGTTTGTGTGCCTGTCAACCTCCCTGTCCGGCTTATCACATTGTAAGATTTTGAGAGGAGATATTGACTGGCCTTTTGCTCTGCACGTGCTGTTTTAGAGTTTATATACTTATGGAATGGAGCTGCCTTTCCACTGCAGAGCTGAGAGGAAAGGGAATAAATGTCAGAATCTCTATCTTTCCTTAATAGTCCAGCTCCATCCCAAATGTGACTGTGTGAGAGACTGCGGTGAGACCTCTGGCAAAACTTCCCACAGAGATTAGTAAGTAGACACAGGTGATGCGTGAGAGGATAAGAAGAGGGATGGACGGTAGGTAGAGGAGGGGGATGGGAACCTTTCATTTTGGTGATGAAGATTGACCTGGATGCAGGGAAGCGGATGAGATGACTCAACCCTTATGGTTCCCCACTGGCTCCCCCTCTTCACACACCTGAAGCCATCTGAGATAGATGAAGGTGATCCTTCTGAAAGAAAAGGATATCGACTTGGGGGTCCTGGGAGGTGTGAACAAGGCAGCTGGATTCTGGCAGGGACCGACTATGTTTATGGACAGGGAGTGAGGGAAAACACCCCTGTCAATGAACAGATGTGGGCCTTAATTCCATGGAAGAACAACCAGTGGGAACAGAAGAGATGTCTCTGATATCTAACCAGGACAGTAAGAGCCAGCAGAGTGGGAAAAGTGAGAGAGATAGCGTCGTTACATAACTGAGCTTTCCAGACTCTATTAACTCAAGGTGGCAACCAGAGCCTGGACACACTCCCAGTCACCGGAAACCACAATCCATCCACCTCCCTGCTGACTCCTTAAGAGGGTTGAGGGTTGGGGAACTTAGTCCTTGAAAGAAATACGGGTGGACGAGAAGGGGGTGAGGGTAGGAGGGAAGCCCAAGTCCCTGATGGGATTCAAGGTTGGGGAGAGAGAGGAGGGCTGAACTGCCAGGCCCTCACTTCACCAGGCCGGGTCCATTCTCTGATTCCCTCGGCAGCAATACCGACCATGGCCCTTGTTTATTGGGCCCCTTCTTGGGGCCAGGAGCTCAGCTAATTGCCTCATAGTCACTCTCTTTCTGGGTTGTCTTCTAAGGTGATTGATCTCCCAGCTCCCCACAAGGCATCTTAGAATCTGTCAATGACCCTATTTTACAGCCAAGAAACTTGAATTTCTTGGAGCAATGGTGACTTGCACACAATCCCACAGCCACAGCCATGGCCAACCTTTCTGGAACACTTACTGGGAGACAGGCAGGTCCTACGAAGGAGGGCATGTATTAACTCATTTACTTTTTACAACAACCATTTGAGGTTGAGAACTATTTGTTATTCTCCCTTTTTATAGATGAGGAAACAAGGTTCAGAGAGGTTAAGTAATCTCCCCAAGGACACTCAGCAAGAGGTTGAGACAGAACTGGAACATGCATTCTGGGCTCCCAGGACCAGGCTTTAACCGGTTAAGACCACACTATACAGCCTATAGGTCAGCCCAGTCTCTTGGGGAAGGAAGAACACTGACATTTGCGGAACCTCTGAAAGATGATGTTCATATATTTGTTTAGGGACTTCCCTGGTGGTGCAGTGGATAAGACTCGGCGCTCCCAATGCAGGGGGCCTGGGTTCGATCCTTAGTCAGGGAACTAGATCCCACATGCATGCCACAACTAAGAGTTCTCATGCCACAACTAAGGAGCCCGTGAGCCGCAACTAAGACCCAGTGCAACCAAATAAATAAATAAAGTGTACAACTCAGTGGGTTAAAAAAAAAGACCAAAAACATATATTTGTTTATTTAATCTTCACCACGAACTCGTGAGGCAAGTGTACGATCTTACTCTTTTACAGGTGAGGAAAGGAAGTTCAAAGAAGGTGAGTGATTGGCAGAGGCTTTTCACTACACCCCAGATGCTTTTCAATGTGATAGGAGATGACTGAGTATCCATGGAGTGAATAAATGTGCAGGCGGCAGCCCGGAGTGGCAAATTCCACGGGCCTTAAAGAATCAGAGGAGAGGACAGAGTCCAGGCACTATCCCTCACTAGGTTTGCATCCTTACTCAGGTCACTTAAATGCTCCGAAGCCCCATGTCCTCAACAGTAAATAACGATGATGTCAACCTACCAGTTTAGTGTGAGGACTAAAGGAAGTATGGAGCATAGAAGACTCTGGAGCATAGAAGACTCTTTAAAGTGTTTGCTGAATTCAGGTTGTAGTCTTTGAAACAATCTCATACTTTGCTCTGCTCTTCTCCTGGTAGTAAGGGGAGCCTGAGCCTGTGGCCTTGCCGTCCTGTCTTCTGCAGCTCCAGGTGTCTCTCCTGGCTTCCCCCCCCCCCCCCCCCCACCCCATATACTTCTGCGTCTACCTTGACCACACCTTCAATACCCCCCCACCCCCCACCCCCCACATTCCTGAGCCGCTTCCCCTTGCTGTGTTTTATCAGCATTGCACTCACCAGTTTCTAATGTATTACAAGTGCGGTTTACTTCCCCCAGTGGCAGGGACTTTTATGTGTTTTATTCATTGCCTAGGTCTCCAGCCCAGAGCAATGTTTGGCCCATAGGAGGCACTTCATAAGTATTTGTTGAATGGATGAATGAGACAATATTTTAAGACTGATGAAAACTCTTCAGAAGCCATGCCAACAACCTTTCATTATGCATATTAAGTAAGAAAACAAACATAATTGTGGCCTCCAAAGGTTGGGAGACCAAGGGTAACTTCTGCTATGTTAAGTAATTGAGCGCTGAGATGAAAAGATGTTGAAAGAAGGTCTCTCGCCCACCCATTTTGGGATATTGGTCGTTATTTAATCACAGGAGCCACATAGTCAATAACTAGACTCAGATAATTAGATTTTAGAATTCCAGCATCACATAGTTGTGGAACCATTGATTATAAAATCTGGAGTTGAAGCTCAAGGGATTCCTTGGTCCTGAGCCTTGAGGCAAATCAGTGACCTAACCCCCAGGTTGAGATGACCATCTCTTCTCCCCAGTAGATCTGTCATTGGTAGCAACTTTCTTTTCCTAGGAAGTTTCCACCATAAGATATTCATTTCACTGACTATAATAATGGTCAGAAAAGAACTGTTTTGGTCACTGAGGTATAGGTAGAGAGCAAAACCTGGCTTTAGCACAAGACACTGGTAGTAGATACTCAGCCTGGATAAAAGAGTAAAAACAAATCCCACAGCATCAAAACTATGTACAGTTCCAAGGGTCTGTTCTACCTGCTTCATGCACTGGTTTGAAAAGAAGATGGACATCCTACTAAGTGACTCGTGCTATGGAGTCTCTGTTAGAGCAGCCTCACGCAAAAGAGTCCCTCAAAAATGGCTTACTCCATTTGCAATAATGTGCATAAATGTTTGTTAAAGTGTCTATACAGTTTAAGTTCAATATGTGACCTAAAACACAGACATAGTAAAAAAAGATGAAAGGGAAAAACACTCAAGTGTTTGCATGGACAACTACAGAGTATTAGAAAAGATTTTCTTTTTCTTTCTAATTTTTTCCATTTTTCAGCTCTAGATTGAGCATATATTATTTTTGTCATAGAAATTAAATCAAATAACATTTACTATAGGAAAATGTCTTTTTTTAGATTCTCCTCAGGCAGGACCTCAGCCCCGTCTGTGCTTTCTTCAGTGATGATTTAATCTAGATGCTGCACCTGTGGTTCTGTGGCTGCATGATGCCGACTCTGGGGTTCTAGGATCTAGTTATCTGAGTCTGGGTATTGACTGGTCCTGTGGATAAGTGACAGGGCATACCCCAGACCTGTGGGCTAAAGGTCTTCATCCACTCCTCTTGTCACTCTTCCCTCCCTACCCTGGCCGCACCGTCTGCTGGACACACTTATGTGTCAGCCCTGACTCACACTCCACTTGCACCCTGACTCCATTCCAACCCCACCCCAGACTCAAGCCCTCCCTCACCTATCACCCCCTTGCTCTTCTCTGCAGAATCTGAGCGCCCAGCGGCTCTTCCCTCCCCACCCATCCCCTCCATCCCAGCCAGCCAAGCTCTAGCGTGGCTGTCTCCCACACCACACACACAGAGCCCAGAGTGTCCTGCTCCAGAATTCGGATCTTGAGTGTGCCCTGTGCCTGTCCTGTGCCTCAGAGAAAATCTCCCTCAAAAGTGAATGTGAAGAGGGGCTTCCCTGGTGGTGCAGTGGTTGAGAATCCACCTGCCAATGCAGGGGGCACATGTTCGATCCCTGGTCTGGGAAGATCCCACATGCCTCGGAGCAACTAAGCCCCCGCGCTACAACTACTGAGCCTGAGCTCTATAGCCCGGGAGCAACAACTACTGAGCCTGTGTGCCACAGCTACTGAAGCTCACGCACTCTAGGGCCTGTGCTCCGCAACAAGAGAAGCCCCCACAATGAGAAGCCTGCGCACTGCAGCGAAGAGCAGCTCCCGCTTGCTGCAACTAGAGAAAAGCTCGCATGCAGCAACGAAGACCCGACACAGTGAAAAATAAATAAGATAAATAAAATTTAAAAAATAAAAATAAAATAAACTGTAAAAAAAAAAAAGTGAATGTGAGGGAAAAAAGTGAATGTGTGTGGAGATGATTCAGGACTCATCCCCTTCTGACCCCTACGAGTTCCTCTTCCTCAGCAGCAGCAGGACAGGAGAGGAGGGAGAGCGGCAGGTGAGACAATCAGCCTGACAGGAAGGGGAAGAGAAGGTGCGCGGGACTGGGTGGTGGGCGGCTCAGGGCGGCTCTGATGCCTCTGTCCCCAGACCCTCGAGGTGGGGGGAAGGGCATCAAATCAAGACACTGCTGAGACCCAGCAGAGACACTTAGAGATTCCTCAGCCCCTGCCCCTGCCCCTGCCGTCCACCATCTGCCCAGTCACCAGCTCGCATCCCCTCCGGCCCCAGCGTGACCCTGAGCTCAGGGAAGGAGAAACTTCCTCTAACATCACCCTCGATCAAATACCATTGGAAGGATAAGCTGCTGCTTCCCCTGCCCACAGTGCTGCCCAGAGCACCCAGACTCACAACCTTCCCGGGTCTGGTTTGGGATCATCGACACTGTTACCGTGGATGACCCTATGCAGTACGTAGAGAGTCTCCCTGAATATATTTTTGCCAAGTGTCTACCTTGTAAGACCCTCCTCTGAATTGCCCAGGCCCCTCCAAGCTGCCCCTGTGTTTGGACATCTCTGCTCCCCAAGTTCAGTCACAAAACTCTCTTAACTAAGTGAACTAATTTTGCAATTTCACTTTATCTTATAGGGTCTATTTTGCTTGTCAAATTTTCTTTTCTTTCTTTTTTTTTTTTTTAATGATTCAGCCCCTTTTTTTTTTTTTTTTAATTTACTTAATTTTATTTATTTTTGGCTGTGTTGTGTCTTCGTTGTTGTACTCTGGCCCTCTCCAGCTGCAGTGAGCAGGGGTCACCCTTCGCTGCAGTGTGCGGGCCTCTCATTGCGGTGGCCTCTCTAGCTGCGGAGCACAAGCCCTAGGCCTGGGCACCCCAGCAGCTGTGGCTCGCGGGCTCTAGAGCGCAGGCTCAGCAGCTGCGGCGCGTGGGCCCAGTTGCTCCGCAGCATGCGGGATCTTCCCGGACCAGGGCCCGAACCCGCGTCCCCTGCATCGGCAGGTGGACTCTTAACCACTGCGCCACCAGGAAGCCCTCTTTTCTTAAATTTTTATTGGAGTATAGTTGATATACAATGTTGTGTTCATTTCAGGTGTACAGCAAAGTGAATCAGTTATACATATATGTATATCCACTTTTTTAAAACCATTTTTCCCCCTATAGGCCACCGTCAAACTTTTCTATATTCACTTTCTTACCAAAGCCTTGGGATGTTTCCCAACTGTAAAACGGGGATAAAACCATACACACCTTATCGAGTTGTCGTGCGGATTAAATAGGTAAACACAGACGAAGTGCCTAGAACAACGCCAAGCACATAGTAACTTCATGTCAGCCAGGCGGCATCCTTCCCATTTTACAGAAGCCCAGACTAAGTACATGGGCCAGAGTCAGGGCTGGAACCCAGATCAGAACTGAGCAGGGCTCTTGGGAAAGAAATGCACCTTATGCCCCCTGAGGACAGCGGCGGGGGTGGCATGGTGGAACCCCAGCTTGCCTCTGTGACTTTGGACAAGCCCTTTACCTCTCTGAGTCTCATTCGCCTCACTATAAAATGGGACATTACTAACCACCTCAGGGGATTTGAGGACATGAAATGAGATGAAGTACCTCCCTCGAGCGCCTGTGAATTCCCTGCACAGAGCAGGGGCTCAGGGAGTGTAAGATCCCTGCCGCTGCCTACCCAGGACTGCCAGCCCAGCCAGCGTCTTTATCCAGACTAAAAGAAGTCCCCCTCTGGTGGCTGCAGCCTTGCAGGCCATGTCTTGAGGAGCAGCGCATAGGCTGTAATTCACCTCTGACATGCCCCTTAGATGGCGAACTTGAGCAGTGTACACCCCAGGCAGCTGTATGTAGTAGCTCCGAGCCCACCCCCTTTCCCACCACATAGTCGCTTGCTGTTCATTTCTGTGATCGGTCGTTCAACCGTATGAATGCTAAGAAACAACGCCTCTCTATTTTCTATCCCCCCATGTGATGATGACCCCTTCGTCTCTGAGGGCACCTTACCTGCCTCCCGGGAAGCTAGAAGGAAGAGGAAGCAGCACTGGAGGCGAAAGATGGAATGGATGCAGTGGGCCGGCTGAGCCATGTTGGAGATGGATGGCTGCTTGAGGCCATGGGCTGGGGTCCCCTCAGCTTATATGGGCCCAGGTTTGACGTCATTGGGGCTGGGGCCCGTCAGGCCTAAATCTTAAACAAATGGAACTGCCCCACCCCACAGGGGTGCCCTGATAACGGGAGACCGCAGCTGCTTCGTCATGAAGTGAGGTACGTGGATGCCTACTGAAAGGGTGGGATCTGGGGGCAGGGAAAGGCAACTGGGAGGGACAGACTCCTGCCCCAGCCCCAGTGGAAGGTGAGGGGTTGGGTGGGCAGCCTCCAGGGTTCTGGGCAGGTGGGGAGCAGATGATGGGTTCCAGCAGGACTGAGTTCTGCCTGGGGCCAGATGGGGAGGGGGCTGGTTGAATGCCTGGATTCTGGGAAGAGGTTCAAATTCTGGTTCTTCTCCAGCTGCACATTCCCCCTCCCACTTCTCTCGTGTCAGCCCAGCTCTCCACACCCCTTACTCACACAAGGTCACTCTTTTTGCCCTGGGTGGAGCTGTCCATGAGTATCAGGTGAAAGAGCAGAGAAGGGGGAAAGCCCTCACATAGCAGAGACAGGTGCTTCCAGGTGTCCAGAGATGACACAAGAAGTGGGGACAGTGGGGGCAGTGGCGGAGACAAGACAGCTATGGAACCCCAGGGACTGACATTCCTCACCAGGGATGCCAGCAGGTCCAGGCCACCCAGAGGCACTGAAGGCAAGATCTTTGGCAGAGATGCTCAGTGGACAGGGGCTCTGCCTTCCCTCTCCCCCCACCCCGTCCTCTCCCACCTCAGCCCAGTGACAGTCTCTTTGCCTGCAAGCCCCCATCCACCCCTAAACAGAAAAGCAGACCTCTCATTTCTAGGAGCTCCCTGGAGTCTCTCTCTCCCCTTTGTCCTGATTCCATGCCTGAAGCAAACATTAGCTCAGAGACTGTCAAAATTCATGCACTGCGTTCCCAAGAGACAGTGGCTGAGGCTGGAGTAAGGGGAGGACAGGCTACCTGGGACTCTAAGGAGAGAGAAAGCCATGGGTCCAGGTGTCTCAGTCACTGCCCCTATCGCCCACTTAATTTGTTCACTGTGGGTCTCCGCTACTGGAAGTCAGCACCCTGAGGTCTGCTGCCTCCCCAGCACCTGGGACAGGGCCTGGCACACAGGAGACAATCAATAGTGTTGACTCGGCCGAATGGAGTGGAAGCCAGGGCTGGCTACTGCCTCTAGGGGGACGTGGAACAGGCAGAGGGAGTGGAGAGGGCTGGACCCAGAGGGCAGGAGGCCAGGGCCCTGGGGCAGTGGGGCTCATGGGAGGACTAGAGGGCCAATATGTGAATCCGTCTCAGTACTTGGCATGACTGGTCCCTAAGCCCTAGGCAGGGCTGGAATGGGAGGGAAGAGGAGCGGCCAACTGCTCGTTAATGCAATTAATGGGAGATTAATTAAGCTCCATGGAGTCAGGCGCCTAACTGCTCAGAACTGGGCAGCCTTCCTCCCAGGCAAAGCGTCCTGAAGGATGGGGAGACTGAGGCAGAGGCAGACCCCCTCCCCTGCGGCTTCATCTAGATGCAGGGCTGACTGATAACTCCTGTTTCCACTAGTCTGCTACCCCACGCTTTCCCCCAAGGACCCAGGCCTCAGTAGAATAAGGGACAGTAATACTGCTTATATCACAGGGCTGCTGTGAACTAAAATATGTACAGTACCTGGCACATAATAAGTGTTATTTAAGTGTTGTTATTATTATACATTATTAGTTATTATTAATGAGGAATATGGAGCACAGAAAGGTTAAGTAACTTGCACGAGGTCACACAGCTATAATGACAAAGCCAGGATTCAAAACCCAGGTTATAAACTAACTTCACAGAGTTGATTCTTCACTGCCTAGAGCTGAATTTAGCACCTCCATGGGCTGGTCAGCCCGCAGCGCTCCCAAGCCTCTCTTTCAGTGGCCCCAAACCCCCATTCCTGCCCGGTCAGTGTTTCCTCTCAGCCACCCAGACTGCAGTTCCCTTTTCCCCTCATCCCTCCCTAAGTGTGGCAAGCTGTCATCTTTTACCCTGAAGCCCCTGTTCTTCTCAGAGTTCTGGGGCACCAGGTCCCAGCTCCACTGGCCTCAGGGACCCACACATTTGGACCATAGCTTCACTCACCTTTTTTTTTTTTTTAAGATTTTTTTGATGTGGACCATTTTTAAAGTCTTTATTGAATTGTTTACAATATTGCTTCTGTTTTATGTTTTGGTTTTTTGGCTGTGAGGCATGTGGGATCTTAGCTCCCCTGCCAGGGATTGAACCTGCACCCCCTGCATTGGAAGGTGAAGTCTTAACCACTGGACTGCCAGGGAAGTCCCCACTCACCTTTTTTTTTTTTTTTTTTTTGCAGTACGTGGGCCTCTCACTGTTGTGGCCTCTCCCATTGCGGAGCACAGGCTCCAGATGCGCAGGCTCAGTGGCCATGGCTCACGGGCCCAGCCTCTCCGCAGCATGTGGGATCTTCCCAGACCAGGGCACGAACCTGTGTCCCCTGCATCGGCAGGTGGATTCTTAACCACTGCGCCACCAGGGAAGCCCCCCACTCACCTTTTTGATACCATACAATAGGCTGACAGTTGCTGCCACCAAAGTGAGAGTGATCAACACAATGGCCCAGTCAGGGACAGAGCCCTTCTCCTGTGGCTTTGGGCCTGAGGAACACAAGGAGACTTCAACCCCCTGACCCCCACTGCCCTCTGTGACTTTCCATCCTTCCTTCTGTGACTCTGACATCTATGTAACTCTAAGACCACGTTTCTCTGTGGAGTTCTGTCTTGTCATCTCGGGAACAGAATCTCAGTGGAGGGGGTTTTAAAGGGCTTCACTCCAAGCCCCAGTCAGCTCTTCCCAACACCTGTGGATGTGTCTGTCAGTCTCTAAACTCCTCACTGACATCCACGTCTCTCCATCTTTCTGAACCTTCCTCCATATCGCAGGCTCTATTGTCCGCGTCTCTCTCCATCTGTGATGCCTCTGCACTGTGAGGGTCCCTGGGTGGGTCTCTCTCCTTCTTCTGAGCCCCCCTGTCCTCCCACCGCCCCACACTAACTCTGATCTCTAAGGGGAGCCAGAGTCGGTTGTGTGTTTTCCCTCCACTCATTTCCTGCCCTCGGACTGCCTGATGGGGAGACTAGGATTGAAGGGGAGGGGAGGAGGGAGACAGAGGGAGGAGGGAGGACAGAATCTGTGGAGGGGATGCTTGTCGCCCTGGAAAGACAGATTGGGCCACGAGGAGTAAAGTTGAAAACCTTTTGAGGAAGCAATCAGGTAACCAGACATCTGGCTGCTGGTCGAACCAGAGGCTTGAGGGGGAACCGAAACCCTTTTAAGTATTGGAGACATCCTCAGACATACTCAAAACACAGTTGAAAGCAGGTCCTAATGCCTGTCCCTACACTCCTCTCCAGGAGCCGAGCTGCCTGCAGGTCAATGACCCAATGCAAACAAGAGCACCTTACAGGTCGGGACGCTGAGCTCAGGTCGGGACGCTGAGCTGGTGGCCGCCCCAGCTGTGGTGGCAGTGGAACTTCCTGAGACAGCTCCACTTGGTGTGGAAGTCCCAGGCACAGGTGAAGCAGTTCCAGGGGCTGTTGTGGCCGAGAAAGATCCCAGAAAGGCAGAGGGGAAAACAGCTAGAGGAGATGTGAGTGAGAACAGAAGCAGAAATTCCATCCAGTGCCCCCTCAATTGAAATCCTAGCAAGTTTTTGGTAGAAATTGACAAACTGATTCAATGAAAATGAAAGGACTGAGAATAGCTAAGACAGTCTTAAAGAAAAACAAAAGTGGAAGACTTACACTAGCAGACCTCAAGTCTTGCTGCAAAGCTGCAGACATTAAGGACTGTGGCACTGGAGTAAGAACAGACAGAACAGGAGAGAGTCCGGAAATAGACCCACACATACATGGTCACTTGACTTTTAATAAAGGGACTCACACATTTCAATGGTGGGGAGAGAGGGAGGGTCTTTGAAATGAATTGTTCTGGGGCAACTGGTTATCTGTAAGGGGAGAAAAGGAATCTTGACACCTACCTCACTCCATACACAGAAATTAATCTGAGATGCATAATAGGTTTAAATTTGAAAGCAAAAATAATAAAGTTTCTGGAAGAACATGTAGTAGAATATCTTCATGACCTTGAAGTAGGCAAAAAAATGTCTTAGGCAGGATACAAAAGGCACTAAGAGAAAAAGTTGATAAGTTGAAAAGCAGAAGGGGAGCCTTTTTATAGCCACCAAGGCCAGGATACTGCTTCAGTGAGGTTCCGGGGAACTAACAACTTACTCAGGGCTGAACACAGGAAGCCCCCACCCAACGCCATGGACCAAGCCAAAGAGTTCTTCAGAGATGGACTGAGCAACAGAAGTATCACCTGGCAAAGCTGATACCACTCCTGTCGTGCTCCCCAAAATGGTCAGATCTAAAGTCTGAGGACTGCTGGGCAAAGCCCCAGATGTTGAAGAAACTGAGAAACTCACAGAGATGGTAGGGAGACCTGCAGAGTTATCCCCAGAGGCAGTTGGGAGACCAGCAGAGACATCCCCAGAGGTGATGGAGATGCCTCCAGAGTTAGAGGTCCCCAATGGGATCAGCTGAGCTGTTGGAAGAAGAAGAAAGACGATAAGATGGTGTTAGAAGAGTTGGCCATCTCCCTGGGTCCAGAGTCCACATCTTGATCCCAGTGCCTCACGTCAGAGCCTAGGTGCTCACCATAGCCAGCCAAGGCCTGCAGGCCCAAGAGTAGCACCAGTGCAGCGTCCATGATGCCCGCTGATGTGTGTTTCCAGGACTGTCTCCCCACCTCTTTAAAGGCTTTGAGGCCTTATTACAAGTTTCGGGAGAGCCAGGTGTGCCGGGGCCTCCATCAACACCAGGATCTCCATCCCCAGGGAGAGGCCACCAAGCTGTCCCTAGGGGACTAACCTGTCCCAGCCTGATCCCAGGAAGCCCTGGGTGAGGGGGAGAGTAAGATCCTGAGGACTCCCCTACCAGGCTCTCAGGCTCTTTCCGGATTAGGGATCTAACCCCCAGGCCCAAGTCAGTCCCCAGCCGAGGCCCTCTTCAAAGGGAAGAGACCCAGGTGTCCTATTTCCCAAGGTCCTCTTGCTCCTAGAAGTATAACCATTGCGGGTGAGGATATACGGGTCCCTTGTGGAAGCAGGATTTGGGAGCTGGGTGTGGGTGGAGAACGTCACTATCTGGGGACTGCATCTGACTCTTAGGAGAGCCCAAGGCAGGGCAGGAGGGTGAACACCTGAGTCATCCTTCATTCCCAATGGCTGCAGCCCACAGAGCTTTCCATTTGTTTGGCTGAGAAGGGGTGACTGGAGAAGAGAGACACCTGGTAAGACAATCATCATGTTCAGAGACAGTGCAATGAGCAAGTTCAGAACCCAGCTCTAAATCCACCGCACCGGAATCCACCACTTCTAAGCTGTGCAGGCTTGGGCAAGTCACATGACCTATCGAAGTCTTCGTTTCTTCACCCCTAAAACTGGGACTTCAAAGGGCCATAATAAGCATTAAAGGAAATAATGTTTCTAAGGTGCCTAGCACGCAGAAGCCTCAGCTATGATTACATGGAAAGAAGAGGGCCAGCTGAGAAAGCCATGGGCATGCTCCCACTCTCCTCTTAAGAGGACTCAGATGCCCCAAGGCATCTCTCTATGTTCCCACCTTCTCACCCGTGCTCTTACCTCCTATGTCTGATGATCTTTTTGTCTATTAATTCTTCCCACTCTGAGCTTCCTGCTCTCCAGTACAAGTCTGGGAGCCCTGGGATCACACTTTGTTTACTTTTATGGGATAGACAGTGTCTCCCTGCATCTCTCCATTTCCCTGGTCCTGCTTTTTTTTTTTTTTTGTAACATTTTTTTTTTTTTTTTTGCGGTACGTGGGCCTCTCACTGTTGTGGCCTCTCCCGTTGCGGAGCACAGGCTCCGGATGCACAGGCTCAGCGGCCATGGCTCACGGGCTCAGCCGCTCTGCGGCATGTGGAATCTTCCCGGACCAGGGCACGAACCCGTGTCCCCTGCATCGGCAGGCGGACTCTCAACCGCTGCGCCACCAGGGAAGCCCTGTAACATCTTTATTGGAGTATAATTGCTTTACAATGGTGTGTTAGTTTCTGCTTTATAACAAAGTGAATCAGTTATACATATACATATATTCCCATATCTCTTCCCTCTTGCATCTCCCTGCCTCCCACCCTCCCTATCCCACCCCTCTAGGTGGTCACAAAGCACCGAGCTGTGGCACCTGTGCTATGTGGCTGCTTCCCACTACCTATCGGTTTTACATTTGGTAGTGTATATATGTTCATGCCACTCTCTCACTTTGTCACAACTTACCCTTCCCCCTCCCCGTATCCTCAAGTCCATTCTCTAGTAGGTCTGTGTCTTTATTCCCGTCCTGTCCCTAGGTTCTTCATGACCTTTTTTTTTTTTTTAGATTCCATATATATGTGTTAGCATACAGTATTTGTTTTTCTCTTTCTGACTTACTTCACTGTGTATGACACACTCTACGTCCATCCACCTCACTACAAATAACTCAATTTCGTTTCTTTTTATGGCTGACTAATATTCCATTGTACATATGTGCTACATCTTCTTTATCCATTCATCTGTCGATGGACACTTAGGTTGCTTCCATGCCCTGGCTATTGTAAATAGTGCTGCAATGAACATTGGGGTGTATGTGTCTTTTTAAACTATGGTTTTCTCTGGGTATATGCCCAGTAGTGGGATTGCTGGGTTATATGGTAATTCTATGTTCAGTTTTTTAAGGAAGTTCCATACCGTTCTCCATAGTGGCTGTATCAATTTACATTCTCACCAACAGTGCAAGAGTGTTCCCTTTTCTCCACACCCTCTCCAACATTTATTGTTTCTAGATTTTTTGATGATGGCCATTCTGACTGGTGTGAGATGATACCTCATTGTAGTTTTGTTTTGCATTTCTCTAATGATTAATGATGTTGAGCATTCTTTCTTGTGTTTGTTGGCAATCTGTATATCTTCTTTGGAGAAATGTCTGTCTAGGTCTTCTGCCCATTTTTGGATTTGGTTGTTTGTTTTTTTTGATATTGAGCTGCATGAGCTGCTTGTAAATTTTGGAGATTAATCCTTTGTCAGTTGCTTCATTTGCAAATATTTTATCCCATTCTGAGGGTTGTCTTTTCATCTTGTTTATGGTTTCCTTTGCTGTGCAAAAGCTTTTAAGTTTCATTAGATCCCATTTGTTTATTTTTGTTTTTATTTCCATTTCCCCAGGAGGTGGGTCAAAAAGGATCTTGCTGTGATTTATGTCATAGAGTGTTCTGCCTATGTTTTCCTCTAAGAGTTTGATAGTGTCCGGCCTTACATTTAGGTCTTTAATCCATTTTGAGTTTATTTTTGTGTATGGTGTTAGGGAGTGTTCTAATTTCGTTCTTTTACATGTAGCTGTCCAGTTTTCCCAGCACCACTTATTGAAGAGGCTGTCTTTTCTCCACTGTATATTCTTGCCTCCTTTATCAAAGGTAAGGTGCCTGGTCCTGCTTTTGACTTTTCTCCCTGACTCTGCCTAGGGTCCTCTCTGCCTCCATCCCTCTGTACAGGGGCCCATTGGTTTTGGGGGGAAGAGGGAGAAGATGAAAAGGGAGGCAGCTAAGAAGACAAAGGGCATGTGCCTTTGTGCATTCTAGAGGGTTTACGTGACAAGTTTATCAGTCTGTTGAGCTTACCCCTATGTCTGGCAGAATGACGGATGGGTTCTAATCTCTCTGCTACTGACTGTGTGACCTTAGTAAGTCATTTACCCTCTTTGAGCCTTTGTTTCCCAGTTTTTAAAGAAAGAGGGTAAAGTAGATGGGCTCCAAATTCCCTCTACAAATCTGTCCTTGTGTTTGCCATTCTGAGTGCCTTATGAAAGGGTGTTGGCTGGGAGGATGAGGGAGTCCCTTTTGCCGTGAGTGCACAAGGCAGGGGGTGGGGCAGATATCTGATGAAATTCGTGTCCCTGCCTGAGTAGCTAGGGTATTTTAGAACAACTAAAACAAAATATTCAAAGACGAAAGTTCCCCCTTACCCAGATTTCTCACCTAGAAGGCCACTGTGGCTGCGGTAACAGAACACCTGGGTTTGGGAAGAACTTGTCCTAATCCACCCCTCCATTTTGGGCCCACATTCCTGAGCCCTTCGGTGACATGGATGATAGAAATTAATTGCAGTTAATAATTAATCCCTAAAGAGCAATGAGAGGCCCAGGCTTGGGTGGGGCCCAGACACCTGCACAGAGGGACACCCTCAGCTTCCCTCTCTGTGTGACCAGGGACCCACCCCCTCAAGCCTCGAGACATGGGGGAGAAGTGGGGCACAGGATCGAGGAAAGGGGACCACCCTCTATTTCCCCAGCAGCCCAGTGAATGGCCCTCTCCTGGGTCCTTAGAGCCAAACTGAGAGAACTGGCAAGTCCAGTTACCCAGCTTCCCCCTCCCATCTCCCCACACACACCTGTGCTAAGGATTGAGTGGGGAGTAGGAAGGCAGGCCAGTTAAGGAGAGACCAGCAGGCCTTCAGACATCTCTTCTGTCCATCTGAGAAGCAAGAAGCGATAGAGCCGCGATGGGGGCTGGGCTGTCCCTCTTCATCCTCCTGACCCTCCTCGCCAGCTCACAGGGAACAGGTAAGGTCTGGAAGGCTAGACACCTGGGTGCCCAAGACAAGGGTCCGAGAAAGGGAACGAGAGAGATGGAGGCACCCTAGTCCTGAGCTCCTGAGTGTTCGGGGCTGAACTCCTGCAGCGAGAGGGTCTGGAAGGGCCTCGTCAGGGAAGAGGAACTCGGGTGGGCGTGGGGCAGGAGGGGTTGCCCGCATCTCTGAGGGAATCCAGCCCTGGTGGCTGGGCCCTAAGCTGTGCTTTTGGATCCCTAGGGTCAGAAATGACTTTGCAACTGAAGATGAAGGACTCCTTTCTGGCAAATTCCTCCTATGATTCCAGCTTCCTGGGACTGCTCGAGAAGGTAGTCCTTGGGGAGGGAAAAGGATGGGGCTGTGTGAACTTGGAGTGCATTTGTGAGTCAGCTTGGGCCTCTGGCTGTCTCTGGGGTGTGAGTGAGACCATCTCACACCTCGCCCTCTATCCCTTTCTCTCCCTCAGCTCTGCTCCCTCCTCCACCTCCCATCAGGGACCAATGTCACCCTGCATCATGCAGGATCCCCACACCACGTCACCTGCAAAGTCTGAGAGCGGTCGAAGCCTGTGCCCTTGTTGGCTGGGGCATCCCGTCCCCGGGGTGCAGGTGCAATGCCTGACCCCATCTTCCAACAGGCCCGCACCCTGCTGAGTGGCAGTAAATATGCTGAGCTCAGCGACTTGACTTTGTGGGTTCATGAGCAGAGGGGCCGGCAGCAAAATGGAATTGGACACTCAAGTCTCTGACTCTCCCTTGTTAAGCAGAGGGTTTCCAGGGTGGGTGCTCTCTCCTAACACCAGTGTCAAAGGCCAGAAGGAATCTGGGGAATTAACTGCTTGGACGCACACACACACACGCCACACACACATACACATGTGCATATACACACACCCTTCAAGCTGAGTTCTTCAGAACACCTGGGAATAAAGAAAAGGAACATTTATTGAAGTCCTGCTTTGTTCCAGGCGTGAGGCTTTCCCATTTCAATGCTTGCAACAATCTTGCCTGTAGCATAATAGGTTTCATTATCTGATTTTACAGATGAGGAAATTGAGGCTTAGCGAGTGTAAGTCACTCACTGAGGTCCATTAGCAGTGGAGAGATCTGACACCAGACAAATGCCTTGGCTTAAGCAAGGTTTTAATTTCATCTCCCCCTGCTTAAGCTTTGGGACTGGGGGCTCAGGAACCTCAGACAGGGAGGTGAGCAGAACACCCCCAGGATATGGGCCGCCTGACCAAGGGATCCACACAGGTCAGTCTGGGTAGGAGGTGGCGTGGGGGGCCGTTCAGGTGAGAGATGAGGGGTTCAGCTTGTGGGAGGATGGCCAGCCTGGCAGAGTGGTGGGGAGAAGAGGATGGGTGCTCTTGTGCTGGTAACTATGGGAACGTGTAGTCCCACAGGCCCACTCTTAAATCCTAGGTGAGTTTCTCGTTCTCTTAGAGCCTCCATTTCTTTACCTGCCAGATGAGGATAATGAAAGTACCTGCTTCCTAGGATAGGTCTGAGGATGACCTGGATAAGTTACCTAGGGCACTTGCCATGGTACCTGTCAGAGAGTGGACCTGGGAGGTAAGGATCGTTATTAGGGTGGAAACCTGGTCCCAGCACATAAATCCTAGTCCCCCAGGGGTCCTCATTCTCCTGCCTTTTTTTTTTTTTTTTTTTTTGGCTGCCCAGCTTGCCGGATCCCAGTTGCCCAACCAGGGATTGAACCCATGCTCCCTGCAGTAGAAGTGCAGACTCCCAATCACTGGGCCGCCAGGAAATTCCCATCTCCTGCTTTTCTTGAGGCAGGTACACATCTGACTCCACACTCAAGATGATCTTGACTTCTTACCGGCTGTCTCAAAATGCAAGCATGCTGCCCAGACTTGACCATGTGGAGGGCATTGGTATGATTGCCTCCTGTTGTCCACAATACCTGTCCTACCAACCCCGCTCCCCCTCCCCCGCACACCATCACCACCATATGAAACTAGAGACTGACTCCTTCGGAGGGAGGGGAAGACAACAGTTCCATATGGAGTATCCCTGAAAATGAGAAAGCATAGTAAAACAAAATTCCTTTAGTTTCCTTGACAATTGTCCTGAGACTATTGGCCTGGAGGAGAGGTAGCTGGGGGCTCCAGAGGGCCCCAATATTTCATGACTGGCCCCTAGCCTGCACTGGTGGGCAGGTGACACCCATGGGTCAAGTGAATAGGCCCCAAACAAGTCAAGGGATTAAATGTCTGGATCTCCAAAAGGCTGGAGGAGCAGATAGCTAACTGCTTCTTTTAATTTTTTTTAATTTTTATTTTATATTGGAGTATAGTTGATTAACAATGTTGTATTAGTTTCAGGTGTAAAGCAAAGTGATTCATCCATACATATACATGTATCTATTCTTTTTCAAATTCTTTTCCCATTTAGGTTATCAGAGAATATTGAGCAGAGTTTCCTGTGCTACACAGTAGGTCCTTGTTGGTTATCTATTTTAAATATAGCAGTGTGTACATGTCAGTCCCGAACTCCCAAGCTAACTGCTTCTTAACCTGGTTCTCGAATCTCAGGGCCTGGGATCACAGGGCTGTGATTTCCAGATTCTTTTCTCAAAGAATTCTCTTCCCAGACTCAAGGCAGAGCGGGGCAGTAAAAAGAATGCTTTGGGGTTCACTAGACCAGGGGTGGCAGAGGCTGCTAACTTTCCCCTAATAGTCATTCCCCTCCTTTTGGATAGTCATGTAAATATTAGCTGAGCACATGGCTATGTTACATTTCCCAGCCTCCCTTGCAGCTAGGAATGGCCTTGTGATCAGGTTCTGTCCAACGGGTTGCAAGTAGAAAGGAAGTATGTATACAACTTCCTGGTAATATCTTTGACAGGAAAGTCACTTCCTTTCCTTTCCCTTCTCCCAGAGGGAAGAAAACAAAGTCTTTACAAAAGCCTACAAGGTCCTAGACCAGCACTTTACAATAGAACTTCTCATCATGATGGAAATGTTTTATTTTATAACCTGCACTGACCAATATGGTAGCCACTAGCCACACGTGGCTATCAAATACTTGAAACGTGGCTAGTGTGACTGAAAAACTGAATGTTTAGTTTTATTTAATTGAGATAGTCAAGTGGCTACCATTTTGGACAGCACAGGTCTAGATGATTGCCTTGAGCCTTCCCTGATCCCTACCACATCCCTTACCTTCCTGAGTTCACCTCTCACTCTCCCCACCGCCCCCTACCACCTCCTTGCTACTCTTTGAGCTCTCCAGGTGTACTCCCATCTTACTGTTTTGCTCTAGCTCTTCCCTCTACCTGGAACACTCTTCTCCCAGACACCCACTTGGATGTCTTTACTTAAACCCCAAGTCTTTACTCCTGCAAGTCTCTACTTAAACCTCACCTTTATAATGAGTTCTGCCCTGACCCATTTCATATTACAACCTGCCTCCCCGCAACACACATATGCACCGGAGCCCCCTACCTTATTTCACCCTTTTCCCCCCTTGCATTTATGACGTTCAGACACACTAGTTTATTTATTTACATGTGTTATTTCTGACTCTCCCTGCTAGAATGAAAGAACTACAGTGGCAGAGATGTTTGTTTCATTCATTGATGAATCCAACGGTCCAGAATACGGCCCAGCATATAATAGGTGCTCAAGAAATACTTGTTGAACTGGGGGAAGGGAAAAAGGAAGGTGCTCACTCCCTCCTTTTCCTTTCCCTCTGGGTGGGATGTGGATATAGTGGTGGGAGAAGATCTTAGACCCAGAGTTGGGAAGTGTATCAAAATGTCAGGAAAGTAAGATCAAAAGGGGTATGGGACCCTCTATCTCAGTCCTGCACTGCTTCTGCCCAGCAAAAGAAACACCCATCTCGTCTGAGCCATTTTCTTTGTTGTTTTTTCTAAAATAACTTTTTTAATTTTTGAGTTGAAGTATAGTTGATTTACAATATTAGTTTCAGGTGTACAACACAGTGATTCAGTATTTTTATAGATTGGCCACCATTATCTTTAAAGCTTGGTTACAGCAGTTAGAAAACTTGCACCTAACTTACTGGGTTGAATCCCAGTTGACACTTCGGACTAGTTACTTTTATTCCCTGAGCGCGTTTCTTCAACTCTAAAATGGAGCAAATATCCACCAAGTGAGGTTCTTGGGAGGATTCAGTGGCACCACAGAGGACCCAGCCCAGTACAGGCCCGCACATACAGCAGTTTCTCAGAGCTGCTGGACAGAATGTCACTTGGGTGTGGAAGGGCCAGGCCCCTGAATTCCACCAATGAGACAAGGTGCTGGAGGTGGAGGTGGCTAGGTGGGCATCTGCGCATGTGTATATCCCTGCCTGGGGCTGGGCGGTGTGTCCCTGGCACTCTGGTTTCAGGTACACAGAAGCAGGGGGGATCTCAATCCCCAGCACAACCTACAGCTCCCCTGAGGCCTGCAGGAAGTCCCAGATCCTCTCAGAACCCTTGGCGATAAGGCCAAGAAGCAGGGAAGCTTCCTTCTGGTGAGAAGCAGAAGAGGAACGGCCTGCAGAAGTCGGGCCATTGTCAGTAAGTACAGGAAGTAGGTGGAAGCCAGGTCACTGTTCCCAGGCCCTACCGAGAGCTCCTCCTTCCTCCAATGAGGGAGCCCCGCCCAGCACCCACACTCCCACTGTGGCCCAGAACCCAGCGCTAAGAGGCCACCCGCCTCTCTCCCAGACCAAAGTGTCAGGGAACAACCAAGAGGCAGAAAGTCACCGCTGGGGGAAAGAGGGACAAAAGGACCACAAGCAGACATGTTTGGGTTTTTTAGTTTATCTGAATTTCCTCATTCCTAAACTTCCAGGTGGGACTGCATAGGACGGAGGCTGGGGCAAAAACGTGAGCGTCTCGAGGACACCCAGTCACTCTGACCAAACCAGTCTGTTTTCTCATTGACGAAGGAGGGAACTGGACCACATGGTCTCTGAGGCTCCACGGCACCAGGACAGCTGCCGAATCTGTCCTCAAAGGCGGGTCTGGGAGGGAGGAAAGCTACCAGGGATGGTTAGAGCTCAAAGCTCCCCAGGGCTGGGAGACACATCCATCAAGTGCCGGAGGTGAGAGGCCGCCTTGTCCAGTTTTGACAGTTCCAACTGGAGGGAAGAAAGCTGGGCAAGGAGAGAAGCAGGTGAGGACAGAGGTAATAGCCTCCCCCCACCACCCCTGTCCCCAGCCCACATTCCCTTAGGGAGTCAGGCATCCTGGGTGGCCTGCCCCAGACTCACCCTCTGCTGCCTCTGAGTCTCTGCCTCTCCCTCTGATGGGGTCCGGGCTATGAGGCCATCAAGCTGCTTCTGCAACTTGTGTCTTCGGGCAGCTAGCCGAGGTAGGTGGGTCTGGGGGTCCACCAGGCCCTGCAGAAGAACAGAGAGAAGGCTCAGACATCTACAGTCCACCCAGCATGCCCTTCCCCCCATTCTAAGATCTCTCCTCACCCCCCCCCCCCCCCCGCCCACCTCACTTTTATAGAACCCGCCCCTTGCCCTCCTCCCAACATCCTTTTCAACCCCACCCCTCCCTCCTCCAGCCTCCTCTGGTCACCTGCAGCTCCATGTAGACCTGAACGGTGTCACTGAGAGCGGCCTGGGCCCAGCCCGAGGGAGCTGCTGCAGCTGGGGGTAGAAGGCCCACGGCCCCACAGTGGCCCAGGGTGCCCA